GGGCCCTGCGGGGTGTGGGGGGCGTTCCCTGATGGGTGAGGAGGCTCAGTGGAGTGATGGTGGGTTGGGGCTTTGCTTGGGGAGCGTGGGGCCACGAGCGGTCATATACCTCCTGTCCCTCAGACCTGGGACACCTCTGCTCTGCTGCACCACATGTGTAGTCCAGAGGTTCCTGTCAGGGAAGGGGTTAAAGCAAAACGCTTCTGGGAATCCAAGGTCAGAATTAAGATTTGTCCACTGAAACAAAGATGTGATGGGACAGCCAGCTGCAAATTCCTGGTGTCCATTATTGCCAGGACCAGCTGCCCCAGGTGCTGTGAACAAAGCTGGTCACAGGTCTCCCACAAAGGTGGGAGAAAGGTCTGTTCTCAAATGGCATACATCCTCGGAGATACCTGCTGTTGGCCACGGAAATGGCTTGGCACATGGGCAACACCTGTCTGCAGACTCACACCCTGGGTTACATGACAGGGGCTAACAGAAGTTAGTTTTCTGAAGGTTCCAATCTGATCTAGGAATTTTAAAAAGTATTCTAACCCAAACAATATTTTACTTGGCTTATGCTAATGCAAATACTTTCCTCAGCTGCTGGCATTTTTTCCTACAGATGAAAGTGCAGAAAGAGGAGAGATTCCCTTTTTCATGAAAGCACATTTGGAATCTGGCTTTGTGGTTTCTGTAATTGCGGATGACAACTACCTAGCTTTAATTTTGCTCAATTTTCTAGCGTTGCCTGGAGGGCATATGCATTTAGATGGACTGACAAAATTCCAGGCATGAGTACCCGATTCTAATTAATAAAATATAAATTCTTTTTTTATAATATATGGGTGATTTGATATGTATATATACTATTTTTATATAACATATATATAAAAACTGGTGAATTACTATAAGTAAAGCTGTTTTAGCTGTGATTTTTCTTAAGTACTTAAAATAGCTGACTGCTGCAAAATGTTGCCACTTGTTCTTACTGTTTGTGAAATAATACTTAGATACCCTGCAGAAAATCTGGAGCATCGCAGCTTGCGAATGAGAATCACAGACTTGGTGCAAAGCTTGGTTTGCTGGTGATAGTTTCAAGTTGCCATCAGAGCAGCGTCTACTTCTGATTAGTATAAATATGGGTAATAGCTACAAAATCTTGTAAATGAGTGTGATTGTCCATCTCGTATAGAAATGAAGGTAACCAAATATTACAGTGAACTTAAACTGCTTTTAATCTTAGGATGTCTGGAAGTAGTTATCTGAACAGAAAATGTAAGGGTTTTGACAAGTTTCAGAAAATATGTGAAGACTGCCGATACTTTGGAGGGCTTCCGCAGGACATTTTCAAGAACTATGAAGAAATTGCTGTCTGTAATTATTTAATGACAAGGAATAAAACCTGTCAAGAACTTATTTCTAGTTGAATCTCTGAAAATGGGTAGCACTGCTGTTGTCCTTTATCCTGTTTTGAAATTAATACAAGAGACAAAAGCATCTGTTGGGAGCTGCATTCCCAGGAAAACAGTAAAATACCAAAGTAAGTGCAAAATAGTTACTTGATTTTTAACAAAAATATATTTGATACCATCTTTTATTAAGTTTTATTCTCTTCTTAATGAATCATGAAATCTGCAACAGAAAAGTATTTTTAATGTTAGGTATCTTTTGACTAATCCTGAAAAAGATGCAGGGATGTGCACTGTGGAGATTGGGTTATTTTACAGTATTTCTATATAAAAGCCAATAAAACTTGCTTTTATTTTGTGTGTTGTGTTGTTTTTTTTCCTTTTAAGGGGAAGATTAGACATATCAGCTGTTTGTGCATACAGCATGACAAATATTCAGGAAGTCTTCTCCAAAGGAAACTACAAAGGACCTGTAACTGCAGAACATTCCCCTGTTAAGTGGATGGTATATAGGGGAGAAGTGCCAGTTCCACGTCCTGGTGCTGTAAATATGAATTTACTTGTTCTAATTAAAGAACAGATTCTGGATTTTTTGGTAGCAAATCATTAGCTCATGTTTTACTAATATAAATGCAGTGTTTATAATCAGCAAAGAAATACCTGCTTTCTCATTCCATCATACGAAGGTCCCTAGAAAAGCTGCCTTGCTTACAGTTCTGCTCCACAAGAGATGTGGGATTATTAGCTAGTTCATAAAGTGTGAGAAAAATAATTATTTTTATCTTTTGAAGATGAGTAGAAATAACTGAATGTTTAGAAGGAAATACACCCTTTTAATATACCTTGGCGAAATGTAAAAGCAATTGTAATCATGTTTGGTTTGTTTCTAGTGCATTGATAATTTTGCCCGGAGTATTGGGTATAATACTACTTCTGACTTGCCTGACGGAGTTTTGCAGTTTGTTAGAGATCACCCTCTAATGGATAATTCTGTAAATCCAATTGGTAATAGACCGGTGCTACTGAAGAGAGGTTCAAACTATACCAGGATTGTAGTGGACAGAGTCACTGGCCTAGACAAACAAACATACGATCTTATGTTTCTAGGAACAGGTAAGTGCTTTTATTTTAGGAAAAGATACTATACATTTCTATGTATTTTGTTGCAGAATTTTTTTCTGAGACTTCAATAAAGTGGAAGTATTCATCAGCTCTGTTTGAAGTTTTGCATTCAGAAGCTGTCTTGCTAGTTTAATATTTTCATCCCAGTTAGATTAAATGTGTTTGGCTTGTTGGACATTAAAAGGCTCTCTTTAGAAATTTTCCATATCAAAGGAGACTTGACATAATAGTATTTGCAAATTCAGGGATTGTTTGAGGTCTTTTTTTTTTTTTCCCCTGAAAAAAATCATTGCTGCTCTCTTATTGAAAGAAAAAATAAGAATTGCTTTGAAGAATTTTTAAAATTCCCTATGCCCAGGAATGCCTTCTAAATCTCTCTCTCATTTTAACATGAATTATCAGGCTAAAATGTTATGCTATGTTTAAACAAGTTTATCTTTAGAAATACATTTCGTTTTATGTAGATGATGGATATTTGCATAAAGCTTTCAATTGTGATGGGGAAATGTTCATTGTGGAAGAGCTACAGCTGTTTCTGTCTCCTGAGCCTGCACGATCTCACAAGCTGTCTTCTGAAAAGGTAGAACTTCTGTCTCTACGTATGGGAAGTGACTGCTGTAATAGCCTGCCGCAGGCCCCGCTCTTCTGTGGTGTTCTTCTGGCTTTTAAATAGTCTGTAAATGTCTCATAATTCCGCTTCCGTCGTGTATTCGTTAATAACAGAGGCACAAAGCATCTTTTTTCTGTGCAGGAATAATTTGTGTGTGTCAAAATATAACTAAAACAAGCCTTTACATTCATTAAAAAATTAGGGACGGAACTCTTGCCATTTTACCTGCTGTGGAAAGCTAGGGTTTTTTCTCATTCATATCACCACCTATTCTTACAAGTTTTACTTCTGTTTTTAATAAACACCAGAAAATTTTACAATCCATATTAGAAAATAACAGCTTAAAATCTCACTCACTATTGTAAAAGGAACTCCCTTCTGCATTTCTAGGGAATGCTTTATGCAGGGTCCCTGTCTCAAGTGGTGCAGCTTCCCGTTTCTGGGTGCCACCGATACAGGTATTGCTTGGATTGCATCTTGGCCCGGGATCCGTACTGCACATGGTCTGAGTCTGCTAATGAATGTGTTCTGCTGGCAAATCAAACTGGTCACGCCATGTAAGTAAAACACTGTTGCTTCAGCACAGTGTGCTCTTAATGTCTGTAACACAAACCTAGCATGATTCCTAGAAGTGGAATGATACAAGCTGGAACACTTCTTGTCTGTGTTTTCATCTGTTTGCTTTGGGGGTTTTTTTTGTTTTCTTTTTTTTTTCCAGGAATTTAATTCAAAGTGTGAAATATGGGGATGCTTCCAGCTGCCTTAGCGTAGGTATGTGAATGTTTGTTTTAAGAAAGACCATTTTAACTTCAGGCAATCAAAATGCTTGTTCAGTTTGTGCTCACTGCAGTTCTTGCATTATAGAAAAACACTGAATTAAAATCATGTTGATTATTACTTTTGAACCAAGACCAAAAAAATCCACGCTGAGGTGGTACTGCCTAATGCCCTTAACCCTCTCAATCTAAATGTCAGAACACCTCAGTTCAGGCTGAAATTCTTACTCTCAAGGGAAGCATAAATGTGACCTGTTTGAAGTTACTGGTGTCCCTCCCACACCCACTTTGCAGAAATCACACGACACATCAGATGTCCTATTAAATCTGTCACTGCTTTAGGAGGCTGTTCTGCAGATACATGACATACTATTCAAGAGTACACTTAAAAAGAAGGGTATTTGTTATCAGCCATTTAAAATTACTTGTATTATTTTTAGTGGGATTGGGAAATCAAGTACTTGTAATGTAGAATTGCAGGTGTGTGTGATCTGGTATTATTATGCAGTGACTTCATAATGAGTTGCGTGCTACATTGCTTTCTTCGTGACACAAGATGTGTCTCTTACCTCCGCTTATGTCTCTTTAAAGTCAGAGTTGTCTTTAGTCTTGTATATTTTAGACTGCACGGCAAATGGTAATGAGGCAATCAGTGGGACACTTGGGGAACCTTTACATAGCTGATATAAGCATTAACCAATGTAGAAACTGAGGCATATGAAGGTGAATTTATTTATGCGTGGCTATGTGTACAGGTGAGGCAAAATCAAATTAAAATCTGGAAGTCTTAAACTTCTAGTCCTGCATTCCTTCTGTTACACATCAGTGGGAAAAAGGCCAGCAGGATCTCACTGATGGTCAGACCTGTCAGTAATGGGATTTCTTTGACTTTAGCCCTTACCTGTTCGTTACCCATTGTCAAGACTGGTGAATTAAATTTTATATTTATTTGAGTATGTATTTGGATATGTAAGTTAAACTAAATCCCCAGTGTTCTTACCTAAAAAAATTATCTTCGTAATTTCAGAAAAGAGTGTGAGAAAATGTCTCTTTACCCTTGGAAACAATGTTCATCTTAAATGTGTCCCTCTATCGAATCTGGCAAGCATAGGGTGGAAGTTTAATGGGAGCAGACTTCAGGCTGAGGACTCTAAATATCTCCTCTATGATGGAGGAATAACAATATTTAATGTGACAATGGATGCGGCTGGATTCTATGATTGTCTCTCGGTAGAGAAATCCAAAGGGAAGGACTTCCTTATCACTGTGGCCCGCTATGCCCTTTATGCCCAGGACAAGACAGAGGAAGCAAATGTTATTGCCACAGCAAATAAGCATAATGAAGCAGGAGCTGGGGGTTTTCAGTCTTCAGTACCCCCTTCTTTAGTGAAAGAGGCAGCAAAACAGAAATCTGTGGACAGCCAAAGAGAGAAGCTTGTTTTGAAACTCTTGGGGGCTGGGTTTGCTCTTCTTTTCTTTTTCTTACTGGTTTGGAACTTCTGCAAGGGTCATTTATCTCTGCCTTGGAAGAGCAGAGAAACCAGCTGAAAACCCCCTGGTACAGCTGGCTTGGGAAGTCCAGCACTGGCTACAGAGGGATCAGGCAGTGTGAGGAAGAGTTCAGCCACACAAACGAACGAGTCTTGTGTTAGTGAATCGATGCTTGGGAGCTTTTCTTAAGGAGGGCAGTGCCAGTGCACAGCACAGCGCAAGTTTCACCGAGAGCTCTGGGAGCTGCAAGCTGTTTGGTTATGATGACGTGATGTTTCCTGCTAAGGAATGTGGAATGCAAAATTGTGTAGGAGTCCAAAACTCTGAATTGAAGATGACGAGCCGCATGGTGTATTATATAGATATGTTACCAGTTACTACTTTTAAAGGCAAAATTCTTTGTTTGGGTACCTTTTTTACATGGTAGAACCATAAGGATAAATTTATTTCAAAAATTGACACTGATCCACTTTTTTTTGTAATATTGGGGTTGCCCAATTACAGAAATTAATACTTCAGAAGCTAATAATACTTAGCATTTAGTGCTTTCACCTTCAGACTTTCCGTTTAATCTACGAATAGCAACTAATTAAGTCTCCCAGTGCCCCAAGAGGTTCCTACTATCCTCATTTTACATATGAGGTTAAATTACTTGTCACTGACCATAGTGAGTATCGGTGTCAGATCTGGTGCTTTGTTAGAAGTTCCTGAGTCATCTTCTTCTATTTTATCTTTCTCTATTTTCCTCTCCTTTCCCTTCATTTAGGCTTCCAAAACATTTGCCACATATTTATTTTTCTAATGTGTTTTTAGTGACCTTTATGATACATCTTCCTCTGTCCAAAAATGTCATGAATCAACTTAACGTACTGCATCGTTGTTCTGAATTTATTTCTGAGGTGTGGTCAAAATTCAGACATTGTAGCTCCTTTTGTGAAAGGCCATTGAAAGTTGAGCATTTTTTCTGAGACGCTTTTTTCTTAATTTTCAAATAAATGTTCTCTTATGTTTTCTTGTTTGGAAGATAACACAAGTTCTTGATCACAGCAATCCCTGAACACAAGGCTATGCTGCCTCACTCTGTCTCTTGCCAGACATGCATAAAGTACAAGGTTGATGCTCTTCTAGACACAGACAGCTCATTTTTTTCCAGTTTTCACATAGTATGGAAGGAGAAACCTGCTTGGAAATGGATTCTCCTGTTTGGAAGTCTGTACCAGCTGTAGCAAAACACCTGCTTTCAAGTTAAACAGGAATGCTCGGAAATGAAGACAATGTGTACGATAAAGATACCTGGATAGGAAGAAAGACTGGATAAGCGCTATTCAGTATTTTTTCTCCCTTAAAAAGTAAATAGGTTAAGCTTCTTTACATCGGAGCAAAGTCACGGTCTCTTCTTTTAGGATGCTTTCTTTCTGCCAGGATCAAATTATTCTTCTGTTATACTTCATAACAACAGGTTCTTGTGTAATCTGTGCAAATGACATAGAAGGAAGGTGAGGCCAGTTGTTGAACGTGGAAGAAGCAAATTCAGGGATTACTGTGTCTGTCTGGTACGCTGCTATTTACCAACACAGCAATGTTCGCACTTGCCGTGGAAGGATGTAAAGGTGGGAACAACGTCAGCCTTTCTAGCAAGGTGAAGCTGTAGGCACGAAGTGTGAGCAAGAATACAACGGCCGTCTGTGTGGTTAGCTGCTGGCAAACCGTTATGCCAAGACCTGTCTGGCTGCATTTCAGTGATTGTGTCAGAGCAATGCAGAAACAAGATCTGAGGCACGTGTCTTGTCTCGCAGTTTGAAAGGGAGTCTACTGCCTTGCTGAGTTCCTTTACTTGTATTCCTACTCCCTATATGCAAAGAGCTATATGGAAATTGATGATGCAGACTGGATAGAGGTATGTAACTAATAACATAGGAAGTGATCGAAATTTCCATCCTTGTCTTTGGGGACACATAATCTCTTCCCATAGTGGAAGGAAGTGCACACGGAATACAAAACCCCATTTCAGAAAATCCTCACAAGGC